ACTGCAAAGTACGATGATAATCGTAGTATCTTACTGATTAATTGTAGGGTGAAATTTCTAATTTTGAACATCATTGCAAGTTAGTAGATTGGGGTGGAACAAATGAAATTGTTGCTGAAGGACGTGTGATATCATTTGATAAGAAAGATCTTGTAGATCATATTCCTCTTGGACCTAATGCAATGAAAGTTTTGGTTAAAGTTGTAATTAAGCCAAATGCCTTTTTGTGGAGGCCTACTGCTAATATGGCTTTTATTAAAGAGGCTCATGGTAAAATAATAGCTTGGCATAGAGAAAGAGTAATTTTACAACCCGAGGAAGAGTCTGAGCAACAAGAAAATTATAACTTCGTGGCACCGGTAAGATTTTTTTCATATGTGCCTTTAAATATTATTCTTGGTTACTTCAAATTTTGCATAACAACTATACTTTATTTTATTTATAGACTGATCGAAAGAATAAATGCAAACTGTTTGATTGGACTGGGAAAGATGAAGTAGTTGCTGAAGGATATTTGCATTCGACTGATCCAAATGCATTAGTTAATGGCATTCCTCTTGGGCCCAATGCTATGATAGTTTCGGTGGATATTCCAAAAATATTTGAAGCATATTTATGGCGGCCCTCTGCTGCTGATATGAGGTTTATTAAAGATGCTATTAGTTCTACAGTAGCTTGGCCTGCAGATAGAGTTATATTGGAGAAAACAAACGAGAGTGAAGAAGAAAACCTTTCATCTCCTCTGGTAAAATCAATGGGTGCATGTGTATATCTATATGTATCATGAATTATTTATATATGGTAATCTAATATTCATATATTTCTCAATTTGTTATGTTTGATTTGTTAGAGCGTGAACACCAATAATGTAAATAAGAAGTGCAAATTATTGGATGCTTGTGGATCTGGTCAAATTGTTGCAGAAGGACGATGGTCTTCAAATGATCCGAATCAAGTCGTTCATTTTGTTCCGTTGGGTCCTAATGCTACGAGAGTTTGGGTTGAAACTGCAAAAGACCCATCCGCATCTCTGTGGAGATCTACATCTGAGATGGAATTTATTGAAGATGCCATAGGCACTACAGTAGCATGGCCAACAGATAAAGTGGTTATGTTTTAGAGTATCGGTAAGCATTCAATCCGCATCTCTATATTCTAAGTTTAATTTTTTTTCTTCAAATTGAATGAATCAATTGATTTACTTAATCGTTCTCTATCTCTTTCTTTGTAGTATTAAGTACAATATACTGATTTTTTTCAATTCTTCATGACAGAAAATGGAAGAACTACATGGAGGAAACTAAACATGGGAGTCACTACAAAATTTTGGGGAGTTGGATGTTAGCGAGTAAAATATTTTTGTATTGTTTACTTTTCAAATAGTGTCGGATGTTATATGATATGAAATTTATTAGGATACTTCAATTATAAGTACGTTTTTATTTTATTAATAAAAGTTTATGACTCATTATCATATGGTAATTTAGTATTTAGTATTGTGATTTATCTATAACGAGTATGCAAATGGTGATAGTAGTAACTATAACATTAAGGAGATGCTATAATAGTCAATACTACAGGTATATATAATGCTATAAAAGATTGAACCATAGCATATGAATATTAACCACAGCGCAAAGAGAATGCTACAAAAGACCAACTAATAGCGTTTTTAAAATAATATTACAGAGTTTACCATAGCGCACTACAATCGCTATCAAAAAGTTTATTAAAGCGCCCCGTAGACGCTCTTACACAATTTATAGTAGCGCAGGAGTATTGCAATTATAGAATTTATAATAGTATTTTTTACGCGCTATTAAAAGATTTCCCATAGCGCCGCATAGTTGCTATTATATAGTCTATTACGACGCAAAGACAACGCTACTACAGAGATTACAATAGCAATAAAAGAGCGCTATCTTAGTGGTTTCTATCATAGCGACATACAAACGCTATGAAATCTTCGGTATCTATTATAGCTCCGGCAGACATAGCGTTCCCGAAATCGCTATTATAGGGTATCATAGCGTTTATCAAACGCTATTGATAACAGTTTGTGGTGTAGTGTCAGTGTTGTGGAGTTTACATGTATTTGTAACCCCGGCGGTAGAATACTTAGATGCGAAATGTCACGGCCCGCTAGTTTTGACCCAACCCCTTGCCAATTTCCTTTGGGTTGGGGAGGTTAAAAAGTCCAAGAGTTAGACCCAAGTTGGCTCAAATGTATAGAGGTAGGTAGAGGTAGGTGGAGGTAGGTAGAGATATTTTAGGAATTCTTTGGAGTGTTCTAGAGAACCACTCCCAACCGTTAGATCATGTCGATCTCCACCGTCCATTGAGGAGGTGGTCTTGTATAAATAGAGGTAGGGTCGTTTCCATCACTTAGCATTCGCAACACAATTCGGGAGAGGCTGACTTAGCTATCGCGAGGGGCGAGAATGAGCTAAGGCCGCACGGTTCTTTGTTAAGGGAACAAGTGGGAACAAGTCCGTGACAGAAAGCTATTCTACCGAGTATACTGTTTCCGGTGGCGCTTTTCCCGTTCCCCGAACGGCCGATCATCACCGCCGTGCGAGAAGGAGCTAAGGCCGCACGGTTCTTTGTTAAGGGAACAAGTCCGTGACAGAAAGCTATTCTATCGAGTATACTGTTTCCGGTGGCGCTTTTCCCGTTCCCCGAACGGCCGATCATCACCGCCGTACGGATTTTGCGACGCTCATTCTTCCGAATCTCCTTCATTTCCGATTCAATGTCGATTTCTTGAAACAACTTTTTGGAGGGAAAAAGGAATTGGGGCTGGAGATTGTGTAGCAGACTTAAGCGGTTTGTTAGTAGGGTGGGTTTATGATAACAAACTTGTTTCACAGCTATAACTAACAGATAAAATTGGGTCCTTATTTATTAATTAATTTATTTATTTATTTAAGGATGCGAATAATCATCAAATCATCATATTATTATTTTATACATAAAATTGTAAATTCACATAATCTTTCATGTGACATATTCTAATGTTTTTTTTTTGTTACTTTTTCACTATAAGCAACTGCTACACCTGAACAATGTAATAAAACATTAGGAGGAACATCAAAAATAAGAAAATTAAATTAATAGAACCTCATAAATAAATAAATAGTACGTCAAAAACAATTCGAAAAATAGATAAAGTTACAAAGTTTTTAAATAGTAAGGTAGTCGAAAAAGAAACGGAGTTATTACAAAATAGCACATTTGCCATTTTCGGCTTGCTTACGAAGCTCCTCAGTCTCTCTTCGAGCTCTCTCCAAGTTCTCCCTCAGCTTACGCATTTCATCACTCGATTTCTTATGAGCATCTTTTGCCGATTCTTCTGCCTTCAGTCGAGCCTTCTGCTCCTCAACTCGAGCTTTCTGCTCCTCGGCCAATTGCTGTTCAAGCCTATTAGTGGTCACTTTCAGCTTTGACTCAACCTACAAATCATACATCAAACGAAAACAAATATGAAGAATAATAATTAAGCACGGATAAAATAATAATTTTAGGATCGATGAATAGAGCAAAACAAAATTACTACCATCTCAGTAATTCTCTGAAGCTGCTCCTCGTACGTTTTCTGGAGCTGCTCCTCCTTCAATAGAGATTCCTCCTGCTTGGACTCTTTCTGCATGTCCAAAGGCATCGTAAAACTTTCGTGTAATCAAACATTTTTTTCGGAAATAAGTGGTGTTATTAATTATAAAATTCTCACCTTCAATTCAACAAATAGTTCGTCGGAATACGGCTTCCCGTCATTATCATCTATAACATAATTCACTAGGGAGAGAAGTTTCCTCTGTTGTACATACTTCTTGCCTTCATCTTTTGTCCTGTTATCAAACAGAACACATCTGTTCCCACACATTCTCAGAGTTTCCTGTATCGATTTGATTTAATAACATAAAATTTAATTATTAAAATAATTACATCAAATAAACCAACAAATAATTGCAGTACTCTATATGGTCTACCTTCAAAGACTGGGGGCAATCATCACGCCCCAAATAATCATCGAGGGTCTCGTCATTTTCATCAAGGTCATCACCGCCAGTAAAAACAACAATCATATAGTTGCTAATTTTGCTGGAAAACAGTTTCCGTAAAGTCTCGACAGCAGCTTCTTCTTCTTGTGAAAAACGAGACCTGACCGACAGGACCAGAATAACAGCATGGATACCATGTTTTGCCATGCTTATGCATTTCGCTATTTCTTTTCCGATAAATTCATGCTCGGCATCGAACAACCCTGAAAAATAAATTCAGATGTGAATATATGTTTGTGCTCTTACTTAAATGAACAAATACGATTTAGCAGCAGACGTATATTATATATATATACCTGGAGTGTCAATTACATTAAGAATCTCGCCATCTTCCAGTATAGTCCTTTGTATCTCACAAGTTCGAGTAACGCCGCCTGAGCTACATTTTGATTTGAATTTGTTTGTGCCGAGAATGCTATTGCCGGTTGCACTTTTCCCATTACCTGTTTTTCCGACCAAAACTACTGTACGACTCGAATAATCAAAAGCACTTCCTCCCATAACTGCCTTCAACTTAATAATTATCTGCGGTAAGAAAACATTCATTCAACTTTAAAAAAAATGATAAATTTGAAAATATATAAAAAGCAAATTGTTGGATCTAACCTCCGCTCTTCAAAATGGAAGGATGTGTTTTTGAAGTTGTCAAGAAAATGGATGAGAATTAAACACAAAGGCAACGTCAAGTATTTGAAGAGGTGGTGGTATGGTATATCAAACGTTTAAAAGAGAAGATGAAAAGGCGCTAAATGTTATTTTATATTATAATATATTATAAATTAAGTCCAATAATTTCAAAAATAATATCTCAGGTGAAGCAAAATAATTATAATTATAATTATTTAATTAAATATTAACAAAATTTAATAGCCTCTACTTGGGCTAGAGACATAATGTTGGACCATGGGCTTGAGTACTGGGCCTTATTAACAATTCATAGGTTCAACCAAAAGCAAAATGTCATAAACATAATGCATTTGTTAACAACAGTCAACAAAACCACAAGCAGTACTTCAACACGGTGAGTCCGAAAAAGGAAAGGTTTGTTCGAACGAAAACACTATACATAAGAAAGCGTAACTAATTACAAAATAGCACATTTGCCACTTTCAGCTTGCTTACGAAGCTTCTCAGTCTCTCTCTCAGCTCTCTCGAGATGCTCCCTCAGCTGGCGTATTTCATCGTTCGATTTCATTTGAGCATCTCTTGCAAATACCTCTGCCTTCAGTCTAGCTTTCTGCTCCTCTGCCAATTGTTGCTCAAGCCTATGAGTCGTCTCTCTCAGCTTCGTTTCAACCTACAAACGAAAGTATCCACAAAAAACAAATTCAATTTACAAATGCCACTAGTAATCGTGTGGTCGAACGCCAAGAAATAATTACGAAAAATACCATCTCAGTTATTCTCTTAAGCTGCTCTTCGTACGATTTATAAAAGTCCTCCTTAAATTTAGATATCTCCTCACTCGAATATCCCTCCAAGGAATTAATTTCGATAGTTTGATTACGCAGTTTCACTGCTCCCTCCTGTTCAAGAACAAAAACCGGCATCAATAAACTTTAAAATTCATTTCCGACATTTTCTAAAAAAGTAGTGATAGGAAAAGAAAAAAAAAAACTCGCCTTCAGTTCGATAAAGACCTCGTCTATATATGGTTTCCCACCATTATTCTCTACAACGTCATTCACCAGAGAAAGTAGTTCCTTCAGTTGTTCACGTTTCTTAAGTTGATCCCGTGTCCTGTTATCAAACAAAACACATCTATTCCCACACATTTCGAGTGTTTCCTATATCAAGATTTAGAATTATTAGAAAATAATGTAAATAAACGAGTAATAAAATAAATTTACGTGGTGGTTGTTATACTCTACCTTCAAAGGCTCAGGGCAATCACGACCCAAATAATGATCGAGAGTCTCGTCATTTTCTTCCAAGTCATCACCGCCAGTAAAAACCAGAATCATATAGTCACTGATTTTACTACCAAAGAATTTACGCAAGCTCTCAATAGCAGCTTCCTCTTCTCGCGAAAAACGAGATCTAACTGATAGGACCACAATAACAGCATGGATGCCATCTTTTGCCATATTTATGCATTTCACAATCTCCTTTCCGATAAATTCAGGTTCGGCAGAAAAGTCAAACAAACCTGGAAAATTCAAATTGTGCATTTTACAAATTGCTAGCTGAAAATAGGCAAAAAAAGAAATTCTGAATCTAGAAAATTTACCAGGAGTGTCGATCACATTAAGAATCTTGCCATCTTCTAGAACAGTCTTCTGCATCTCACAAGTACTTGTGACACCAGCCGAGCTAGACATCGAATTGAATGTTTTTTTGCCGAGTATGCTATTGCCAGTCGCACTCTTGCCATTACCAGTTCTTCCAACCAAAACTACAGTACGAACGTCGCTCGAAGGAGCCGCAAACTCCCAATCGTCATCAATTGCACTTCCTCCCATTTTGCAAAAAACTTAAATATCTGACAACAACCAAAAAAAGAAAATATTAATTTATTTCTAATATGGGATAAATAAATCTCTATCCATAAACAAAATCCTCAATACCAGAGAATTATTGTCACTTCTCAGTCGCACAGGCACCGATCAAACACGTAAACTGTAAACCTAACTTTATATGTACTTATGAACAAACCCTAACCCCCTTTTATCCAAATAAAAAGGAAAATCATAGTTTTCTACATAAACTGCGCAAAAGTATGATCAGAATAACATAACTATGAACATACTGGAAAAGAGTAGACAAATTAAAACCACAAACGATCGAATCGGAAAATCGAGAAAATAGAAAAGCAAATACAAACAAAAAAGCGCACAAACTGGGAAATCGAGAAAATAGAAAAGCAGATACAGAGAAAAGGTAAATAAACAGAGAGAAGTGCACATACTGGAAAAAATTCGAGAAGTAAATACACAGAAATTAAAGGTAAATACAGAATCAAAACAAGTTCGTTTCACAAACTGAAGAATCGATCGACAAAATAGAAAAAGCAAATTGTGAGTCTAACCTTCTGTAGGGATTGAATGAAAGAGAGGAGCTACTTTTAGAGAGTGATGATGAAGCTGCCTGTGAAGGCAAAGTATTTTAATATTTGTTGATATTTTCTTTGGCAGCTGAAACATTTCACATGAGATAACCCCCAATGGGCTTGTTCATAGTGGATCAAAATGGAATCTTTAAACCCTACAAATTATGTAATTGATGGCCCAAAATTGATGGGCTATAACATTATTATATAGGTACACGATTTAATTAGTAAATTACGGCCACCTCCCTGAGGTAAGGTCAAATTACGAAGAAACCCCTCATGTTTGAGTAATAACAATTATCCTCTCAACTCTGAATCTTCTTGCACGTTCACTATTGCGGTGTCAAATTTAGTAGAATCTTCTAGATTATATGAAATATTCTCCAGTTTGTACCTGTTTTATCCTATTCGAGCTCCACATTTGAAACAAGATGATCATAAGATGTTTCTCTTGGCTTGTAAATATCAGATTATGGTACGTCAAAAATTGTATTTTTGCACAAACTAGAGAAATCTAGAAGATTATGTTGAATTTGATACAGTAAGGGTGGATGTGTAAGAAAATTCATAATTAAGGTAGTGATTGTAATTATTCAAAAAGATAGAATTTTTCGTAATTTAACATTATCTCACGTGGTGACTGTAATTTAACATAAAATAATTGTTCGAGTTCAATTTATTAACAAGAAAATTCAATTTTTTTATTGAAGCTCAAGTGATTAGTTATAATAATATTAAAATTAAATAATCAAATAAAATGTGTGCCGAGGTCACAACTCGTGTATATACACTTTGAAAGAATATTCCACGGCTACGCCACATGTGGCGTCTCCACAACCACCAGTCCATTTTAAACGACTCTCACACTTTTATTATTATTATTAATTTTTTTTTTTATTTTTTTAGTGCAGTCAACAAAGAAATTGCAATAGTCCCACATTCAATAATTACACATTTTTTTTTTTAATATAATTATATATATATAAAATAGATGTATATATTGCCGAAAAGAATCTATTCGTGCACACGCAAAACAATCTCCCCAGAACCAGCGGAGCTCAAAACAAGAGAGATTTGTTTTCCAGCAAAATTTGAATTCCATAAAATGGGGAGTGAAGGAAAAGAATTCAAAGCTGCTGAAAGGAAACTGAGATTGTTATGCCTCCATGGATTCCGTACCAGCGGCGAAATCATCAGGAAACAAGTCACCGGAAAATGGCCGGAATCTGTTCTCAACAAATTGGATCTTGTTTTCGTCGACGCCCCTTTTCCCTGTCAGGGAAAATCCGATGTGGAAGGAATCTTTGATCCTCCATATTATGAGTGGTTCCAGTTCAACAAGGTTTTGCTTTTTTTTTTTTTTTGGCGTTTTCCTTAAATTTAATTAATAAATAAATAAATATATGCCGATTTATTGAGCTGTTTTTATTGTAATTGAAAATGGGTTTTTGTCTTCTTTTTTTTTTTAATTGTTATTTTTTTTCAGGAATTTACGAAATATGAAAATTTTGATGAGTGTCTTGCTTATATAGAAGATTGCATGATCGAAAAAGGGCCGTTTGATGGCCTTCTTGGTTTTTCACAGGTATTTTAATATTTCCTTACAATCAATTTATTAATTTAATTTCACTCTAATTGCAATTGTTCTATGTGATAATGTAAGAATGGGTGGTGTTCGAACTTCAAACACATCGAATTTTTAGTTTCCGATAGTTGGATGAATTTGTTATGCAAGAATGCGTTCTTGTTCTTTCATGAATTTTAGGTGCATGTAACAAACATCATGTTTAATTTCAATAATTTTCGATCATATATAGAAGTTAGGTGCACGTAACATCATTATCGAATTCAATCGTTGTTTCAGGTGCATATAACTAATTGTCAACTGATATTTGAGTTTGATATTTGAAAAATCAGGGAGCAATTTTATCAGCTGCATTGCCCGGATTACAAGCCAAGGTAAGCATTACTTAACACCTACTAACGGGGTTTGGTTTGGTTTGTTTAATCGTTAAGCCGACTTTTATTTGTTTTTCGGTGTTACAGGGTGTGGCTCTTACAAGAGTACCCAAGATTAAAGTGCTGGTAATTATCGGGGGTGCAAAATTCAGAGATCCATCGATTGTCGAGAACGCTTTTTCTTCGCAAATTCAATGCCCCTCAGTTCACTTCTTAGGTAATTCTACTTTTCGAATATTCGATTTTCGATTCTGAATTAGTTATATTAGAATAAAGTCAATAAACCCCTAGATTAGGATCTATTTTAGTTATATACAATAACTATATCAAGATGAATATTTATTGCCTAATTAACTACAACTTATGGAATGGTAGCTTTGCCTAACTATTACAGCTGCCATTTTTAGGTAAATTGATTGAAATTTGTTTGTACATTAATGTGTTTAATTAAATGTTTTGAATTACAGAAAGATTTTACTATTTGTTTTTTTTCTAAATTTTTGTGTCCTAAAAAAAACAGGGGATCAAGATTTCTTGAAGCAGCATGGAACTGAACTGCTGGATTCTTTTATAGACCCCCTCGTGATTCGTCATCCAAAGGGCCACACTATACCACGATTCGGTAATGGATCGAACCTCGATTTTTACTTCCGTTCAGATTAGGACAATTAAATCGAATTGTGTCTTATATGTATGTCTTATTTTACAGATGAAAAGGGTTTGGAGAACATGCTAAGCTTTCTTGGGAGGCTACAAAACGAGTTCGAAGACGAAGTCGAAGACGAGAAACAAGAGATTGGTTTGAGCATTACTTCGTAGTGACATCGAAATTAGCAACTACTCTCAAATTGCAATTGTAATACTACAAATAATTATGTAAGAGATTGATCATCTTTTGAAAGTATTTAATTTAAAGTTTATCTTGTATGAGGTTTATTGTCATTTAATAAACATGTTCCTTTTGGGTTTTCTGTGATTATTGCAAGAAACCCATTATCAAGAAAATAAACCTCGTAAATTAAACACCGAAAACTGGCTAGTAGAAACAAGAAATTCATCCTAAAGAAACTACGACGACATAATTAAAACAAAATGCAAGAAAATTAAGATTACTGAAACTGAATCATTTTTCTATATGTATTGAACAGATTTGACATACAATATTGTACACCGTTAACTATATAGCAAAGAAATCCCCCGAAAATCTTTATAAATAAAAAATAAAGGAAGAAATTGTTACTTAAGCAATTTGAGCTATATCGAGCAAAATTTTATGTAAAGACTGCGGCTTCGAGAAGAAAGGGCAATGATCGCTGCCTTTGATCTTGAAGACTCCTTCGGGTGGATTTTCTCTCACTAGCTTTTCTTGCACGTCGGGGGAAAGTGCATGGTCATCCAAAGACTGAATATAGAATCTTCTACCGGTTCCGTATTTTTCCGATGATAAAGACAGTTTCTCCATCATAGGACCAAGTGGTATTGGTCTCATTGAAACCATTGCTAAAGCAACATCCTATGAAACAAGAAGATAGTAAATCTTACGTTGTTTGTCCGAGTGGCGTAATCGTAAAATATAGTGTAATATGTTATAAAGTACCTTTGAGGGAGATTGATTGAAGTATAAGCCATGCATATGCTGCTTCTCGAACATGAATCCTGTTGGAGGATTGTCTTTTCCGTTTCCGTAAATTAGAGACTTCGATTCTGGTGAAAAAAGTTCTGCAGAACCAAGCTGCAAGGAAGAAAAAACATATTTAAAGGCATGAAAAATAGAAAATGCCTACCTCAGAAAAGTAAATATGATTTCTGTAGGCAGACCGAGAGGTGGAAATTGGAACGGAATTTCCGATTTCCGCCGATTCCATTCGAAAAATTTCCGATCTTGGAACAATATTTTTCATTTCAAATTCCAAAATTCTGATTTCCGAGTTTTTTTTTTTGATTGGAATTGAAATAAATATGAGATTCTGATTTCCGATTCGGTTTTAATTTCCAAAAATTCAAAAAATAAAATAAAATCCAAATTTTACACTTATAACCATATTATTAGATGACTAAAAAATGGGAATTATCTGAATTCCGCCGATTCCGATCCGAAAATTTCCGGTTTCGGAACAAGTTCTACCATTCCAATTTCCGAAATTACGATTTTATTTGAAACGGAATTGGAATCAGTTTTTCACTTCCGAAACAATAAAAATCCGAGTTTTTTCCGAAAGTGCTAATTCCGATCCCATCAGTCCGATTTCATCAAAATGACTTATTTTTCATAATTTTGAATTTAGATTTTTGACAATAAACAGAATTCAAAACTTCAAAACTCACCTCTTCAGCAAACACATCGAAAGGTTTCTGCCCATCGGATACCATCGTAGCACAAAGATAAACAGCTTTCGAAATCTTCTCAGGAAAATGCTCCAACGCGTACGAAACGCAAGCACCCCCACTACTGTGACCAACCAATATTACCTACGGAAAAAGAAAACCCTATTACAAAAAACACGGACCAAAACAAATGCCTAAGAGAAAAACAAACTATTTCTTACCTTATCATCCTCCGGTAATTTCTGCAGAAAATCGACCAATGGTTTTGAGTAGTCAGCCAATGTATTGACATCTTTTATATCGGTTAGGTCAATTCCGGATCCCGATAGATCCAATGCAATCGGAAGTAAACCGCTTTCCTCTAATAGAGCAATACTTTTATACCAACACCAAGCTCCGAACCCTTCACCGTGCACTAAAACAAATTTCTTCGTCTTGATATTCTCCAAAAACTCTGGCAACTATATATAAACGTTGTATACTTAATATAACGAAGTGAAACAAACGTCAAGGAAACGAAAATACTTATGATTCATCCATCTGATCAAGGCTTAGGATTCTAAAAATCAATTAAATAACAAAACTATTAATTAAGCTACTAAAAAATTAGAAGTTAAGAAAGATCTCCCTTTTCACTCTTTCTTAATCGAAAAGTTGATTTACTACAAAAAAAAAATCGAAAAGTTGAGAACTTTATCCCCAACCTTTTAGCAGCATCATGACACTTTTTTCCCTATAGCACTTAAATTAGTATAACAATCGATTAATATAAATAAAAGCAGATAAAACCAAGAACCCAACTTTTTTTTACCTTTAGATCTTAATCATTATTACTCATTAAACGCAAGCAAAAATAGAAAAACCAAGTAGCAAATCATGTTCACAAACTATAATAGTAAAAGGGGGGCAAAAAATTCACCTGTTTAGCATTAGTACTAGGAGAGAAAGGATCGGAAGAAGTGGCGGCGGCGGCGCCGCGGCGGCGGGAGGAGGTGGATCCAATGCGACGAGACATGGAACCATTATTATTACTATCGAATCTCTGAGAGAGCTGATGCTGCTGAATAGCCATAGCTAGAGCTTGCCTGTGAAGCAATTCTTCCTCCATTGAGCTCCGCCGCTTTGAAATTGAACCACCCCTTTTGCTTTTTGATCCAATCCCACCATTCTTCATATCCTTCTTGCTCATACAAATGAATTTATTACCCATTTTTTGGTGCCCCAAAAGATTCAATTTTTAGCAAAACCCAGATTTTAATTTCTTGAAAAATCACTAAAATTAGTGAGGAATGGTGGTGCCCCAAAAGATTCGATTTTTAACAAAACCCAGATTTTATTTTCTTGAAAAATCACTAAAATAAGGGAGGGAGAGAGAGAACAGTAGGTGGTGAAGGTGGAGGGTGGTAGAGAGGGGTGGCTTTAGAATATGATTTAATTTGTGGCAATAATTATTAGTAGCCAAAAAAATGACAAGGAAAAAAGAAATAAAGAAGGAAAATGTAGGAGAAGGGAACAAACAAAACAAGAACCAGCTCAACTGCAAATGCAAGCAACAACCTATTTAATACGTACAATCCTTTTCAACGTTTATTGTATCTGCACTCACTCTCACTTATTAACCAGAGTAAGACAGATGGAGCATCTCTCTCTCTCTCTCTCTCTCTCTCTGCCTTTGGATGTGTTGACTCTTTTTTTGAATATAAAAATAAAAATAAAAATCTTAATTATCAAGTAATATATTTATTTGGGTTCCCTAATTTGTTCCTTGTTTTCAGAATTGCTCCGCCAAATTGGTTGGATAGTCAAGAAAGGTGGTGGACCTGATTCTTGATAAATGATAACTTTGTAAATATTGTTGTGATTTAGCAGCACAAAGTCAAAAGAAGAAAAATTATTACATCATGGTCCAAGGTTTAGGCTTACTACTAGATACAGGATATTCAATTCAATATTCATACATACAGGGTCCGGTCACCTAAGATGCTACTTCTACATACATGTAATTAGTGATTTTGTCGTCCCTATATTTCGATTTTTAGCATTTTTAAAATATAACCGCTACTTAATGTAAATATTACATTGATATCGTTATATTATCGAAATTAGTTTAGAACGATGAAATGTCCAAATTACAGAGCGCGTGAACATTAACGCCAACTTCTTAAGCGAAAACTTGAAAGTTCCAGGAAACTGCAAATTGTGCGTGTGTGTGTTATATTTGCAGGTGAAATTCATTAATGCATATCCAAGAAATTGAAGTTGACAGCTGCAAGTTAGGTGCATACATTATGTGACTCTGATTCTCCGAATATTAGCTACTACTACTATATTACATTATGAATCAAATACAGCTAATAGTCTCTGAGAAAAAGTCAAAAGGTGCTAAGTAGATAGACCAAGCTTTCGATAATGTGTAATTTTGTAACTCCAATTGCAACAACTAACATCTTTCGAAGATTTTGTACAGTTTCTCCAGTGAAGCAACCTGTAAAGTCGAACAATTACATGTTTAGAATTAAACTCGGGATAATGTATAGGAAATACACATGGATAGATCTATGTGGCAATTATTTGGAAAAACACGATACAGAACATCTCCGCAAAAAATGGATTATGTAAAATTGAGATGAACAGTTGGCAAATTGTGAAATAGAACATTTAGAAGCAATTGCTAAGTAAAAATAACAAACAACTTCTCAAGTTCTAGTACCTTGACGAATGTTCCGTTTGTAGCCATTGAAGTAGGAGGCTTGAGAAAAAGTCTCATGGAAGGGAACAAAACATGCTGTATTGACCATTCACGCTGAGACCAAGCACTTTCCGCCTCCGAAAGAAGTTCTTGCTCAATTTCTTCCTCTTTCGAATCATCTGTTAACAATATTATACACAAGTGCGGATTAAAACCAAGATCAGAAACGAGAGAAAAAAAAAAGAGGAAATTCTCAGGGCTAAATATGATCTAAGAAATGTAATGAAGTATTTAATTATATGCATTTCAATAACAGCTTTACCGGCACTTCCTGAGGCATTTCCGTCTTCAGAAGTGGTTGAAGGCACTTTCTTATAAAATTGCAAACCATCACCTGATGGATTAGGTAACAAAGGGGGATTAAAGGCATAGAAATTTCCAATAGCAGCAGCGATTGTTTGGAAACATATTTTCTCATCATCCCAATTAACCTGCAAAACAAATACATACGGCACTGAATTATAGTCTGAACAGAAAAATAATGAGAATTTGGCAGACAACGCTATTAACTAAAATGAAATGTAGAACAGTATGCAGTGCCCCAATTAGAGTTCTCACCACTTAGCACTCTACAACAAGTGATACATCAGACAAGGGAAGGACTCGTTAAGGAAAAGAACCTATATATTGTGTAGTTGAAATGACTAGCCTACAGAATGTCACCAAACACAGGCTGCATAAATTGCTATTCACTCTATAACTTCATAGACTCAGTTGCTATATAACATCAGAATGTTCATTCCGCTTGAGACAATCCATGCTTAAACATCAGTTGAAAATACAAATTAAAAAATAATTTATACAGAACTCACATCATTGCCCAAGCAAAGAATTAACTCTGGGACCCGATCCATGTCAGGGGTGTATTGGTCAAGTACGATGGGTAATCTGGACAAATTACCATTTTGGTCAACATAAATGCCAAAATACTCCTCCAGCATCTCAGCCCTCTGCTTTATCAGTTCTGTATTCATCTAACAACCAAAAAACAAGAAGGATTTAGAGAAACTTGAATCACCAACTGACTTTAGTTGGAGAAATAAAACAAAAAAGATTTCGTTTACATTTTATTTGACTTTCTTCTAACTTAGATCTGTAGAATAGAGCACAATGATTAAAGTAGATTAACCTTATTCTTCTATTAATATCGTCGACAACAAACCTGACAGGATATAATCCACCATTTATCTGAACTAAGTCTTTATAACAGTATTACTAGCAAGGAAATCTTATTAGAACATTAAAAGCAAACATCCAAAAGCTCCTTCAGATGTGCAAAAGCAAAGACAAGTGCGTGCAAGATGGAACAATCGAATCAAAATCATATAAGCAAATCTTTATAGCAGAAATTTAGGAGTTAGTGTTAAGATGAGTTACTTCTGCAATCTTTTCTTTCAGGTCATCGTTTTCATTGCCTTCTGAATCCAAATCCTGCTCTTTCAGTGCCAGCATTATCAGATCTGGCAGTGGAGCAGGATCACTCAATTGAATAGCACTAAAATGGGCAAATCGCCGTAAAACTTGTTGGTACATAAGCTCTTTGCTGTAGTGGAGTCAGAAGAAGAACAGAAAATAATCAGATAACTCATATAAGTAAGACTATTGGCTTACAGGATAGATCTTAAGATAGTCCATGGTATTGGAATTGGACAAAAGCAAGCATCATATTCATGGATCATAAAGCATAACATAGGCACAGTTTATAAGAGCAAGTTTATTCATCTGCTCTCCCAAAAAGGGTTTTGTTACATAAGCTTAACCTTAATATCACATCATCAAGAGGACAAAACTAAGAATCTAAAGTGTAGCTCTAATATACTTCTAGTTCAATTTGTGTTTTGTTTGCCAAAAAAGTTCAAGAAATGTATTCTGCTACAACAGCCCGATATTGCTTCAAAGATTACCAATCATAAAAGGCTTTAATGATGCCAAAATTCTATATCAAGTGAGCTTTCACAGTCAAAAGTTTTGAAGGAGAAGACAGAAGAAAAGGTTAGCAATTTCAATGTGCAAAAGATTTTTTTATGGAAGTAAGGGCACATGACACTACCATGACCTACAAAGGGGGATTGTATGAGCGCCTACATTGTTTGCTGCTATGTTACATTTTTTTCTGTTTTGGACAAGTATAATATTTCGCAAATGCCCCTGGAAACAAATGTTAAAAGGAAATGAATAAATCACCTCAAGTTGACCACATTAGCAAGATAAAGGTGAGTATTATGCTGCAGTAGGGCAAAAACATCATCTGCCATCCCAATATATGAGCAGTTCCCCACAATATCCAGCAGCTCTATAACAACACAAGTCAGTGAATGCCATTCACATATTTTGTGAAAAGAGTTCCCTAATTAGCAAGGAGATTAATTAACCAGAATGACAGCTAGAATCAATCTCTCTGGTAAGTTCCTGAATGCTAGTAAGATCTGCAGTTTCTCTAGGGTTCCTCCGTTGTCTGATTGAAGACCTGCGGTTAAAAAAGAAGCAACGCTATTATGAAGAATCACAAAACCACAGGCTGCATTTTTAATTTGAAATAAGCATGCAAAAATGGCCACCTTCATGATACTGAAAATGATACCCGTAGAATGCACAATAAATCAACTCCCGCGTTGCTCAAATGCAAAGCAATAAATTTAACATGATTTGGCTAGGTTATAAGCCCTATATTATTCAGTGTTCAATCCAAGAAATCAAGAATAGTAGTCCTTTCCCATGTATCTGGCCCTTTATAAATGAATACGTTTGATAGTCTGTGTACCCAAAAATCATAACATATGATTTCTTTATTACAGATGTAAAAGCACCAGAAGAAGATGGAAACTACCTTACAGAGGCCAAAGAAGACGTTCCTTGCAGTTGACTAGACGGCTTAACTTGCAAGTATGCATGCAACCTTCCTGCAGGATCCTGGGAATCAGTTCGCACCATTTTGCGCACTGGAACTTTCTGCGATTTTAAGCCTACAAAGTTTACATAGAAAGGTTAAAAAATTCAAAAGCAGTGCACTATAACAAACAAATGTAGGAAATAATATAATACCCTTCACTGACGTACAACAGGGAAAAAAAGAAAAAAAGGACGGAGAAATGGTTAGCATACCAGAAGACGAGCGATGATTTTGGGAATCTTTGCTCATAGAAATAGAAACAGATGAAGAATCCACCCTCTGCCTCGAAGAAAAAGAAAAAATAGAACAGCAAAGTAAGAAAACAGTGTGTATAACAGAGGAGCGGATGTGAGAGCATAGCACGAAACCTACAGAGACAACTAAAGAAGATTATCCCTTAATCAATAAATCTTTTGCAGCTCTACAGGCATTTTTCTAAGCCATGGAGACAACAAGACTGCAGGTCTTAAGTAAAATGACATTCAGAGATTGCTGAAAATACCTGTTCTTGAAATGTGCGTGACTCGTTGGAGTTCCTCAATTTTGACTCCAAAACAGACTGTATCTTCTCAATTATAACTTCTTGATTCAGAAGGCTTACCTGAGCATCAATAGTCACATGAAATATGTTAAGTGGGCGTTTTTACTCACTTCAAGTCCTCGTGTATTGTTAACTTTATAAAAGGCACCTCTCTCTTTGTTGGATGTACATTCACATCAATGTGCTCAGGTGGCAATTTGATTGACATGTAGATGAATGGCTTTGATGCCTTGGGCAATGTTGCAGCATAAATAATTTCAATTGCCCTCTTTAGAGCACCACACTCCACCAGTCTATCTGGAAAAAGTGAACCAAAAAAAAAAAAAAAAAATCAGTAGAAGTAATAATCAAGAGTCTGGAAGAATCACCATTTGACAGATTGGCAACTTCGTGATATATGTTTCAAAAACATGAGTAAGTGCTTCAAACCTACTATAATGCTAGAGCAGAGATAGAGATAGAGATAAAGCACAAAGTCCCATATTGCAAGAATACAAAAAGAAAAGGAAATAAGAAATGCGAACTACGAGCACCAAGCTTGTGTAAATGTGTTTCAATGCCTAAGTGAGAAATTAACTAAGTGCAACCTTCTCATCTACAAACAGCATAAAGGGCTTCAACTATATATGAAGAAGATTAAACAAAACATACACCACATTATTGACAATCTCAGCACAGATCATGGTATAATGCCTACCATTAATGAAAAGCACCATAGTTATCTTCTTTGCGGCGTAATTGGAATTAGAAATAAAACCATCCATTTCAAAAACTGAATTTGAAGGATCGTCATCCGAAGCTTCTATACTCAAAAGATTTTGTGCAACTGATACCCCATAAACAGATCTGATTGCATCAAGCCTTGAGGAAGTAGCAACTGAGTTAACATCTGCTCTAGCAGCTCCATGCTAAGACAAATAAAAATCCCATCAACACATCAGTTGTGTCCACAAAAAGATGAACAGAAGTGAACCTTAGTGATAGACAAACCTTTCTGCAAGAGAAGTTCACATTTGTATGATGGATGGCAAACCGACAAATTAGGTCGACAATTTTAGGATAGTCATCAGCAGAATTCTGAAGTGATTTCCTCCGAGCAGCCATGTTATAAAATAAATTTTCAATCTGCCAAAGAGATGCAGATAGTGTCATGGCAACGGTGTTATCAAAAGGTTTATAAGTTTAAACATAAAAATATAAAAACCATAAACATCTTGAATCTTAACTATATAAATCTAGTGTTACAGCGCACAGAAAATTAGAAAAGTGTGGCACCACCATAAGCCGCATACCATGATTTGAGTACCTTTAACAGCTGCACATGCTTTTGGTTCGTTCTCCATTACACCATCTTTATAAGTTGCCCTAAAAAATAAAAATGCATAAAATAAGACAATATTAATGTACAAAAGAATGGTAAATTACATCATCTTCGTCAATCCGCCAGAAACGTAACTAACGAAAAAAACTCCCAAAACAATATGTGGAGCACATGATTACCTGTAGCCATGCAACTGACCCTTGGTAATGGTTGTGACTGTGACATGACCAACGTACGTCATACTTGCCAAAGCCTCACCTCTAAACCCCATTGATTTGATAGACAGTAAATCCTCAAATTTACTCAGTTTAGAGGTTGTATGCCTTTCACATAATATTGGCAGATCTTCGTACTATACTCAAATAAAAAACAAAAAATTAAGCTGAAATTAGTAAAATAGGATATTTAAAAGGGGAAGAGGAAAACTACGCCAGTAAAAAAAATTCAGATAAAGAAAAAGGTGCGTACTCGAATTCCGTGGCCGTCATCGGAGACTTGGATGAGTTTCAGGCCACCGTCTTTAACTAGAACGGAAATAGAAGTGGAACCGGCGTCTATGCTGTTCTCGATGAGCTCTTTCACGGCGGAGACCGGCCGTTGGATGACCTCACCGGCGGCGATTCTGTTCACCACCGCTTCATCCAGGCGGCGGATACTGGGTGGCTCCCTGTGAGCTGGATTAGGTGTGGATTCTTCCATATCAATAGGCTCGCAGCTCTCGATTTCCATATCCATTGCTGGGAATCGAGAAATGGTAGGGTTTCGAAATCACGGGTTTTCGCGGTGGTGTTTGGGGAGGAAGGAATAGATTTGGCGCCAAATAGACCATATGGGCCTAAATGTGGGCCCATTTTTCGGGCTCGGTACTTAATTATCTCACAGCAAAATTAAGGGCCGGAATCAGATTTTAAGTTTGATCGTAGCCCGAATAAAATAAAAATCTGAAATGATTTGTGCAGGCACAAATTAAACATTCAGGCACATTTTTTACCATTTCTCAAAAAACAAAAGGTAAAAAACTCAAAAAACTCTCTCTACCCTTTCGATTTTCTTTCGCAAAGCCCGTGCAAATCGTCAACAGATCGGAGGTAATTTTTACGTTTTTACGATCCTCTTGTTATGTAGATTACGAATCCGAAAAAAAAACGAAAAAAAACGATACTTGGGAACGCTCTCCAGGACAAGG